AATATGTGGTCATGTGTGTTTGGAAATACCTGGAATATTAATGTAGACATTAGAGTTAGAAGAAGTATACTGTATTAAATAAATTTAGGAGAATATAAAACAGTCAGTAAGATACATAAACTTATAAGTGAACTAATGAGAAGATTTGGGAGTGTTTACATCCTTGCAATTACAGCAGTGAAATAGGCCAAGAACAATGTGGAGTGCAACCAAGTGGATCACAGGCTTTGGATAAGGCAAAACCATCCAGCTACTACTTTTTGATGCCTTTGGTTTAAGACCCCAACTCCCCTCTTCTTGTGACAGTTTAGTGAACAAAAACCACAAGCAAATTGATAAGTAGTCATAATAAATAATATTTATAAGTAATAAATAATAGTAAATAATTAGCTCCATGAGCCCTTCCTGGAGGAAGAATTATGGTAACATTTGAAGAACATTTTAATAAAATACAGAATGCAAAATAATGCAGAAGGACTTAAGTGATGTCAGGAATAGACTAATAAGCTAAAAACTGTTGTAAGGATGACAGTTGTCCTTTCTCCTGCTAGCGTAGTGTTGTAAATAAGTATTGCCTCCCCTGCCCTTTCTTAGGTTCTGGCAGCATGAATGAAAGGAAATCCTTGAGGAACAAAGTAGGGGAGTCAGCTAGTTATTTTATCACTAGGAAATACAAGGAAACTTCCACTTAAAATTGTTCTCTAAACTCAACTAGCATTTTTCAATCATCATTGCTTGTAGGTTTCAAAAAGTTACAGAAGCTGTTGAAGATCCTTTGAAATAGTGGTTGCTTCCTTAAGCAACAAGATTCAACAAGTAATGTCAGTGGCAGCTGTACACTGAAAAGACCTGGTCTCTGGAGTTTGTCAGAACTGGGTCCAGCCAAGTGTAGTGGTACAACCTGTAGGCCCAGCTACTCGAGAGGCTGAGGTGGGAGGATCACTTGAGCCCAGCAGTTCAAGATCAGCCTGGGCAGGATAGACCCCTGTCTCTAAAAATATATATATATATATATATATATACACACACGAAATAAAAATATTAAAAAGAAGAAAAGCTGGGTTCAGATCAGGCTCTGTCATTTGCTGGTGGCATTACCTTGAGTAAGTTATTTAACTTCTCAGAGCTTCGGTTTCTCTGTGTAAAGTAACCTATTGTACAAGATTGAGATTGCCATCACTGTTAAATGTTTGATGGAGATTCAGTACACAAGCTGGAGCTGAGAGTGAAAGTTCATTGCTCATGATATACACTGTCCTTTCAACTACCTCCAAAATGTACTTAATCAAGAATGCCATCAGCGGACAGCTTGCAAAATTAAATGCACTCCATTATCCCAGTTTCTGTTTGGAGAAAATTAACATGGGAAAGAGAATAAATTCTGTGATTGATTGATTGATTGATTGATTGATTGATTTAGAGATGGAGTTCCGCTCTTGTTACCCAGGCTGGAATGCAGTGGCGTGATCTCTACTCACTGCAACCTCCACCTCCTGGGTTCAAGTGATTCTCCTGCCTCAGCCTCCCAAGTAGTGGAGACTACAGAAATGTACCATCACACCCAGCTAATTTTTTTAAAATTTTTATTTTTGTAGCACTAGGGTCTCACTATGTTGCCCAGGCTGGTGTCAAACTCCTGGACTCAAGTGATCCCTCTGCCTGGCCTCCCAAAGTGCTGGGATTACAGGCATGAGCCACCACACTTGGCCTGCTTCTTAAAACACAGATTGGTAAGCCCACTTCTCTAGTTTCTAATTCAGTAGGTCTGGGGTAGGGTCTGATAATTCCATCTTTAGCAAGTTCCCAGGTGGTTCTAATGCTACTAGTCAGGTGACACTTTGAGAATCTGTTTTCTAGGATATGTGTTCAAAAGTGGAATTGCTAGGCTGTAGCTGAAGTCAGCTTCAACTTTACTAGACAATGCCAAACTCTTTTCTAAAGTGATTATATCAATATACACTCCCAACAGCAGTATATACAATTTCCTTTTGTGCCATGTCTTCAATAATAGTGCTCCCCAAAATTCATGTGTTGAAAACTTAACTCCCAATGTTGGGAAGT